GCGGCCCACGGGCCCAGAGCCGCCCCGGGAGCGGAGACCTCAGGCCTCGGGGCGGGGCGCACACACCTCTTTTTTCCGGAGCACATGGTGCAGTCCGTTCTCAGCCGCTATTTTCTTTACAAAACCTTTGGTCAGCCCGCCCAGAGGGAAGAGGGTTCTCCTCAGGGCGTCCTGGGAAACCTGGCTGAGAAAGAAGGTCTGGTCTTTAAGGCTGTCGGCCGCCCGCAGAAGTCTCACCGCTGCCAAGAGGAGAGAACAAGACCGTTGTAGGCTCCGCCCGCCCTGCTGAGCTGCCTCCGGGCCCCTCCGGCCGGCTGACCGCAGGCCCCGCCCGCCCAGCAGGGCGCAGCGGCCTCCTCAGCCGTGGGGGCAGCGCGGGCACCCCGCCCTCGGCAATCTGCCCTTAGGCGGCTTTTCGGGTTTTTTTGGGGGGGGTTAGTGCCCAGCACGTGCGCGGAGCCCCAGGGGCCAGCGCCAGGCGCCCTCTCCTGGCCACGCCACGCAGCTGGCCGTGGGCATCTACACGGGAGGGCGGGGCGCGGTGACCACGGCCGCGGGCTGTGGCCTGGCTCCGGCCGCTTTCATGTCCAGACCCACGAGACCCGTGGGGAGAGCCGGCCACACTCACGGGCAGACTCCTCCCTGCTGGAAAAAGTAGGCCCCGCCCAACAGCGGGGCGCACCACGGCCAGCGGCCGTCCTCAAGCACAGGCCGGACTGTGCCCCCGGGGCGGCAGCCAGGCCAGGCAGGGCCTGAGCACCCTGGCTTCGGGCCTCAGGGACGGGCAGGCCTGTCCCGAGGGCCGCTGACCAGGAAAGGCAGGCTCGGGACACAGGACTCAGTGAGGCGGACACCGGTGCGTGGACACAATGGCCACACAGGCGATCAGGCGCTGCGGCCACCTCCAGGCCAGTGGGCACGGGGCCAGCCTTCCTGCACGCGACCCCCCGGCCCCTGTGCTGGGACCCCCGAGTGGCAGGGCCACACCCCACAGGCAGGTAGCAGCGGAGCGGGGAGGGGACAGGGCGGGCGCCCTGCACTCTGGGGCAAGTGCGCCATCCCAGCGCCTGCCCAGGTACCCCAGGCCCCCTCCTGTGAAGGGGTGAGTCCCTGGGGTCCCCTCCCACCTCCCATCTCCGAGGCGAGAGGCCTGGCACAGGCCGGGGCGGCGGCCCTTCTGGGCCCACTTCAACAGGAGTCCTTGAGGGGGTTCCGGGCCCCGCGCTGTGGCTCTCAATGACGTGAACCCCCTTTCGGCACACCGCCGGGGGCCCACGTGGCCAGCCGCGCTGAGCTCACGGGCGTCTGTCTCCCGAGGGAGCACAGCCAAGCCCGGACGCGGACGGGGTCGGCTGTGTGCTGGGCCTCGGCAGCCGCCG